GGTCACGCGAGGGCTCTTCCGCGTGACCTATGCTGGGGCTCTCTTGGGTCCCTCTTGGGCCTGCTTGGGTCCTCTTGGGGTCTCGTCGGGGCCCTCGTGGGGCCATCTTTGGCTCCTCTCGGAGCTCCAAGAGGAGCCCACAGAGGGGCCCAACATCGGTCACGCGAGAGCTCTTCCGCGTGACCGATGTTGGGGCTCTCTTGGGGCTCTCTTGGGTCCCTCTTGGGCCTCCTTGGGCCCACGTGGGGTTCCCTCGGGGCGCCCTCTTGGGCCCGTCTTGGGGCCCTCTTGGGCCATCTTGGGCGCCTCTTGGGCCGTCTTGGGGCCCTCTTGGGCTGTCCTGGGGCCCTCTTGGAAGCTTCTTGGGCCGTCTTGGGGCGGTCTTGGGCGCCTCTTGGGCCGTCCTGTAACGTCGGAAAACCCAAAAGACAACTTTGTTGAAAATGTACGTTTTACGAAGGGAATGGGCCAATTTTGCGTCTAGGGGCCCTCTTGGGACGCATGTTGGAGGCTTCTTGGGGCCTCTTGGGGGCGTCCTTGGACGTCTGGGGTCTCCTGGGGCCTCTTGAGGGGCCTCCTGGGGGCCTCCTGGCGGCCTCTTGGGGCGGAAGGCTCGAGCTTGCGGTTCGTGGTCCCCCTCTGGGCCCCCTCTTGGGCCCGTCTTGGGGCCCTCTTGGGCCATCTTGGGCGCCTCTTGGGCCGTCTTGGGGCCCTCTTGGGCTGTCCTGGGGCCCTCTGGGAAACTTCTTGGGCGGTCTTGGGGCGGTCTTGGGCGCCTCTTGGGCCGTCCTGTAACGTCGGAAAGCCCAAAAGGCGACTTTGTTAAAAATGTACGTTTTACGAAGGGAATGGGCCAATTCTTGCGTCTAGGGGCCCTCTTGGGACGCATGTTGGAGGCTTCTTGGGGCCTCTTGGGGGCGTCCTTGGACGTCTGGGGTCTCCTGGGGCCTCTTGAGGGGCCTCCTGGGGGCCTCCTGGCGGCCTCTTGGGGCGGAAGGCTCGAGCTTGCGGTTCGTGGTCCCCCTCTGGGCCCCCTCTTGGGCCCGTCTTGGGGCCCTCTTGGGCCATCTTGGGCGCCTCTTGGGCCGTCTTGGGGCCCTCTTGGGCTGTCCTGGGGCCCTCTTGGAAGCTTCTTGGGCCGTCTTGGGGCGGTCTTGGGCGCCTCTTGGGCCGTCCTGTAACGTCGGAAAGCCCAAAAGGCGACTTTGTTAAAAATGTACGTTTTACGAAGGGAATGGGCCAATTTTTGCGTCTAGGGGCCCTCTTGGGACGCATGTTGGAGGCTTCTTGGGGCCTCTTGGGGGCCTCCTTGGACGTCTGGAGGCCATCTTCAGCATCTCGGAGCCCTCTTGGAGGCCTCTTGGAAGTTTCTTGGGCCGTCTTGGGCGCTTCTTGGGCCGTCTTGTCTGACCGGGGAGGCCTCCGGCAAGCCCCGACGAGCCTCCGGGGCCCCCGGGGTGCACATTTGCGGTCGAGGTCCCGGCCCCGGGCCCCCGGACCCGGTGCGCCGTTATATGTATATGTGTGTGTATGGAGAGGGCGTCACAGCCGCAGGCAGCAAAAACCATCTGGGCATGGATGGCGGCGGGGAGCGGTTCAAGGACGAGACTACGGTGGGGTGGAGGATGACATACACACACACACACACACACACACACACACACACACACACACACACACACACACACACACACACACACACACACACACACACACACACACACTTTTTTACCGACACGAGGAGCTCAGTGGCAAGTAAAAGGCAAAGAACGCGCGGGGAAGGGGGGAAAGGGGGGAGAAAGGCGCGCTCGCCTGTGTCACACACACACGCACACACACATACACACGCTTTACCCCACTGCTGCAAATTTGGAGCCCCTTCTCCAATGCCAGAGTTTGGTAGAGAATGATGCTGCTAATTGCTAGTTGCTCCTGTAGGCGGCTTGCCCGTCGCAGTGAGAGCATGTCTCTTCCCAGATCTCTTCCCTTGACCAGATACCCTCGCGTCGCGAAACATCACCCATGAGATCCGGGCGTTGCCCTTCTCTTTACATCAAGCGTTCTTGCCTCGCTCCGGGCCCAGGGACCATCACTGATCGATCTGGCTCGAATGTAGCGGCATAAAGATGGAGGTGTAGCGTTCTGGTCGTGATGGTCTGCGATGTTCGTACTATTTGTTGCAAAGTCCGGTCTCAGGGACGACAGACGGTTCTTCAAGGATGCAAGACAAGTCCCCAGGAGGCCAAACTTTCGCGTATGGAAGGCATATTTGGCATCGAAAACAGGACAGATGTGAAAACAAAACATTTTCGGAGGGCAGAATCTGTTCTCAGTGAGCAAGCATCAGAGGGAGGGGGTCGAACGGTCATTCACTGTCCTTGGGCGCGAGGCTGAAATGAGGTTATGCGGTGCGGATTGTTGCTGCTGTTGTTGGTATTGTTGTTGTTGTTGTTGAACATTATTACTTCTAAAGAATAATTATTGTTGGGGCCCCTGGTGCACGGCCCCCTCGCCGCGCCTAGGCCGCAGCCATGTTTTCATCATTTTCGTGAGGAAGTCTCTGGCAAAACGGGTTGGTCCGGATCCGGTTGTTTTGTTACGGGCGGTTTTCCCTTGCAAAAAATAAGGCAAAGTGGACATTTCTTGTTCTAACATAACCAAACTTCAAGAATCCCTTGCAAAAAACAAGGTAAAGTGGACATTCGCGCGCGCAAGACGAAATCCTTCCAAAACCTTAGTGTTCGTAGCGATTTTAACATAAAAACATCAAAAAACCAATGGTTTTTCAAAAAAAAAGTGTCAAAATTTCATCCCGCGCGCTCTTGCGGATTTGTAGGAAACCCAACACTTTTTAAACATTTCTGTCAAACGGGCTTTTGCGAGCAACTTTTTCACGTGCTTCGAACTTCTCCAACAACGGTTGCGCACCTGCCAGGGCCATCATCCCTGTCAAATAATACCATGCGGGACACATTCGTTTTTTCTTCGCGCGCGCACGCCGAAATCTTCAAAAACCATTGGGTTTCTTAGGAATTTTAGCACCGCGCAACATAAAATCATACGAATCGCACCGTAGGTCCTCGAAAAACATCTGTACGAATTTTCAAAATTTCTACCCGCGCGCGCTGTCCGAATCCTAAAAAACCAAGTCCTGTGGTATGCTGGCGCCACCCACGTGGTACCACTCAAAATAAGTGTCTTCGCTTGTGTGGTACAGAAACGGAAAAACGTCGTATCAGACGCTAGCGCCTCACCAGCCAAAGCAGTCCATATCATTGTAGGACCTACAGACAGTACCGGCGTCGTACTGGTTTACCGTGGTTTCCTATTCTAGCGTCAGGAACACGTTACCACCAAAAACCAGTACAGGTGTCCAGTGTTGGAACAGGGGGAAAAGTCGTATACTAAGCTAGCGTCCAGAAAATGTTACCACAACAAGTCACTGTACCCATGCGCCAGTGTAGTAGCCACGGTCGTCCGCAGGCCACGAAGTGAAGTGTCCGAACGTCATAGGGCGGGAAGCTGGGTGTGGGTGGTGGCGAAGAGTCGTTTGGAAATTTGGTAGAGCTTGAACCGGCCCCCCCACAAAGTGGGGGTATTGCCCGCCTCCTATGAAAACCCTGGCACTGGTGAGAACGGAGTGTCCCCACGTGCTAGTAATTGTTGTTGTTGTTGTTGTTGAACATTATTTATTCTAAAGAATAATTATTGTTGGGCCCCCTGGTGCGCGCCCCCCCTGCGCCGCCTAGGCCGCAGCTACATTTTCATCATTTTCGTGAGGAAGCCTCAGGTAAAACGATGTGATCCAGATCCGGTTGTTTTGTTGTAATCCGTTTTCCCTTGCAAAAAACACTATAAAATGACATTTCTTGTTCTAATATAATCAAATTTCAAGAATCCCTTGCAAAAAATAAGGTAAAGTGGACATTCGCGCGCGCAAGACGAAATCCTTCCAAAAGCTTAGTGTTCGGAGCGATTTTAACATAAAAACATCAAAAAACCAATGGTTTTTCAACAAAAAAATGTCAAAATCTCATCCCGCGCGCTCTTGCGGATTCGTAGGAAACCCAACACTTTTTAAACATTTCTGTCAAACGGGCTTTTGCGAGCAACTTTTTCGAACTTCTGCGACAACGGTTGCGCACCTGCCAGGGCCATCATCCCTGTCAAATAATACCATGCGGGACACATTCGTTTTTTCTTCGCGCGCGCACGCCGTCGTCGTCGGCCGCGGGGCCCTGAATAGTAGCCACGGTCGTCCGCATGCCACGAAGTGAAGTGTCCGAACGTCATAGGGCGGGAAGCTGGGTGTGGGTGGTGGCGAAGAGTCGTTTGGAAATTTGGTAGAGCTTGAACCGGCCCCCCCACAAAGTGGGGGTATTGCCCGCCTCCTATGAAAACCCTGGCACTGGTGAGAACGGAGTGTCCCCACGTGCTAGTAATTGTTGTTGTTGTTGTTGTTGTTGTTGTTATTGTTGTTATTTGCATTGTTATTGTTCTTCTTGTTATTGTCATTGTCATTGTCATTGTTCTTGTTGTTCTTGTTGTTCTTGTTGTTGTTGTTTGATGTCGTCGTTTTCCCCAGACCCGGCCCGCGACCCACCCGCGACCCACCCGCGACCCGGCCCGCAACCCACCCGCGACCCACCCGCGACTCGCCCGCGACCCGCCCGCGACCCACCCGCGACCCACCCCGCGACCCGACCCGCGACCCTCCCGCGACCCACCCGCGACCCACCCGCGACCCACCCGCGACCGGGCCCGCGACCCACGCGCGACCCACCCGCAGGAAAAATCGGCGCCTGCGGCGGGCTCACTGCATAATCTGTAAAAAATGAAGCGCCTGCGGCGGCTTCTTCAGAGCCGCGCAGACTGCCGACGTCCCCGCCGACCTTCACTCTTATCCGCAACTGCGGGGTGCTACGTAGCAGAGAGAAATAAAAAACAAACGGGTGTCTCTGGATTTCGCCCCTCCGAAGTCCACGCCGGGGGGCGCGTGCCTGTCACCCATCTCCACGTACAGCGCTCGGGCCTCCTCGAGGGACACGACCGCCTCCTCCACCTTCGGCCGGCGGGGGCGGAAGCGGACGCCCCTGGATGGGCAACAACAACTGTAAGAGGAAGACGAGGAGAGGGAGGTCCTGACCCTTCCTCACTCTCCTGACCCTTCCTACAGATCCTGATCCGTCCTCCCTTAGGAAGCGATCTCTCGGCGGCGCCCGAAGGCACCGCTGCCGTAGCTAACTGGTTGTTCGCGCGCGCGGGCCTTGCGTGGTGCGCTGGCGGATCGTGGATAGCTGTGATTGGGCTTTGTGCAACAGGGGGAGGGGAAGGGAGAAGGGGGAGAGGGCAAACTAGGCGAGCTCGCGCCAGACCGGACGTCCTACTCCTCCCTCCCATCCCTTCCAGTTGCGCCGATCTGAACTCCAAACAAAATTCCATCGTGTTATGCGCAATCGGGGCAAAAGAGTTGCGTATGAAGAAGGGGAGGAGGAGGTGGCTGGTGAGCGGGAGGATGATCAGGACAGAAATTAAGAATGGAGAAGGAGGAGGAGGAGGAGGAGGTGGTGGTGGTGGTACTCAGTATCTGGTCCAATCTGCATCTGCAATCTGCTGGCAATTGACCGCTGTGCGCATAGGTGAGGGCAACTCCTCTCGCAAAACTTGAAAGTCGGCACTACCGTCACGACTGGTTATCCAATCTGGGAACACCTTGGATAACGCTAGGGTCGAGAGGCCTAGGGCAGTGCACGATGGCACTAGGTCCCGACAGTGAGAAGACAGGCTACTCGGCTCGCACGCACACACACACACACACACACACACTCACACTCACACTCACACTCGCACTCGCACACACACACACACACACACACACACACACACACACACACACACACACACACGTGCGGAGGGGATCGAGGGAGAGGGAAAGCGAGGACGCGGACGCACACCACACCACACACGAGGACGCGGAGGGCAGAGGGAACACGAAGGCGGAGGCAGGCAGAGACACGACACAAAAAGTCTAGAGATGCCCCAGACCTGAAGTCTGACCTCGATCCCTACCTTTACCTTTGCCCTTCGGTGCCTACGCTTTACAAACACATTGGGGGGAACCCAATATCCCGAAAACTGGTTCAGAAGCACACTCTCTCGAACCACATACCGTCACAAATGTCGGCGGCTAACACTTCCAATTCTCAAATATACTACCACTTGTGTTTGCCACCCATCCCACACTTTCAACAACGAGTTCTGGATATTCCGCTCTGGACACGTTTCGTAGCCCCTATATAAGGAGCTCCACCGAAGGCCCCAGTGGCTGCTCTCGCATGCGGCCCCCCCACCCAGGGCAGCGTTTCGTGGCCCCATAGGGAGCTCCACCGAAGGCCCCAGTGACTGCTCTCGCATGCGGTTCCCCCACCCAGGGCAGCGTTTCGTGGCCCCATAGGGAGCTCCACCGAAGGCCCCAGTGGCTGCTCTCGTATGCGGTTCCCCCACCCACGGCAGCGCTTCGTGGCCCAATAGGGAGCTCCACCGAAGGCCCCAGTGGCGCATGTCGCATGCGGTTCCCCCACCCAGGGCAGCGCTTCGTGGCCCCATAGGGAGCTCCACTGAAGGCCCCAGTGTCGCACTTCGCGTGGCCCCATAGGGAGCTCCACCGAAGGCCTCAGTGGCGCAGTTCGCATGCGGTTCCCCCACCCAGGGCAGCGTCTCGTGGCCCCATAGGGAGCTCCACCGAAGGCCCCAGTGGAGCAGTTCGCATGCGGATCCCCTACCCAGGGCAGCGTTTCGTGGCCCCATAAGGAGCTCCACCGAAAGCCCCAGTGGCGCAGTTCGCATGCGGTTCCCCAACCCAGGGCAGCGCTTCGTGGCCCCATAGGGAGCTCCACCGAAGGCCCCAGTGGCGCAGTTCGCATGCGGTTCCCCCACCCAGGGCAGCGTTTCGTGGCCCCATAAGGGAGCTCCACCGAAGGCCCCAGTGGCGAAGTTCGCATGCGGTTCCCCCACCCAGGGCAGCGTTTCGTGGCACGGCGTCAGTGGCGCAGTTCGCATGCGGTTCCCCCACCCAGGGCAGCGTTTCGTGGCCCCGTAGGGAGCCCCACCGAAGGCCCCCGTGGCGCAATTCGCATGCGGTTCCCCCGCCCCGGGCAGCGTTTCGTGGCCCCGTAGGGAGCTCCACCGAAGGCCTCAGTGGGGCAGTTCGCATGCGGTTCCCCCGCCCAGGGCAGCGCTTCGTGGCCCCATGGGGAGCTCCACCGAAGGCCCGCCCCAGTGGCTGCTCTCGCATGCGGTTCCCCAACCCAGGGCAGCGCTTCGTGGCCCCATAGGGAGCTCCACCGAAGGCCCCAGTGACTGCTCTCGCATGCGGTTCCCCCACCCAGGGCAACGCTTCGTGGCCCCATAGGGAGCCCCACCGAAGGCGGCACCGACAACGAGTTACGAACGATTGCTTATGGTTGGGTCCTTCGCCAGGATAGTTGTTGTCGTGTATTTCCGAACCCAAATCACGGCTGCAGCCCCCGAGGGCTCCGAATTTCAAACATGTGAAACCACAAAGTTTGGCACCCGCTTGCGTTGCAAATCTTGTGCCCCCACAGAGATTTATAACAGTTCGGGGCCCTGGTAACCTGAGACGTCGAGTTGCGTTCAAAGGTGCCCACAACCAAAAATCTCAAACATCTATGTGAAATCGCATGGTTTCCGTGATTCCCACAGCAATCATCCTGGCGAAGGGCCCAAACATAAGCAATTGTTCGTAACGCGGTGTGGGTGCCGTTTTCGGCGGGGCTCCGTATGGGGCCACGAAACGCTGCCCTGGGTTGGGGAACCGCATGCGAACTGCGCCACTGGGGCGGGCCTTCGGTGGAGCTCCCTATGGCGTCAGGAAGCGCCGCCCTGGGTGGGGGAACCGCATGCGAACTGCGTCATGGGGGCTTTCGGTGGAGCTCCCCCCATGGGGCCACGAAGCGCTGCCCTGGGTGGGGGAACCGCATGCGAACTGTGCCACTGAGGCCTTCGATAAAACTCCCTATGGGGCCACGAAGCGTTGCCCTGGGTACGGAACAGCATGCGAACTGCGCCACTGGGGCCTTCGGTGGAGCCCCCTGTGGGGCCACGAAGCGCTGCCTCGGGCACGGGAACCGCATGCGAAATGCGCCATTGGGGCCTGCGGTGGAGCCCCCTATGTGGCCACGGAACGCTGCCCTGGGTAGGGGGACCGCATGCGAGAGCAGCCAGTGGTGCCTTCGGTGGAGCTCCCTATGGGGCCACGAAACGCTGCCCTGGGTGGGGAAACCGCATGCGAACACAACCACTGGTGTTTTCGGTGGAGTTCTCTATGGGGCCACGGAGCGCCGCCTTGGGTGGGGGAACCGCATGCGAGCGCAGCCACTGGGGCCTTCGGTGGAGCTCCCTATAGGGCCGCGAAGCGCTGCCCTGGGTGGGGGAACCGCATGCGAGAGCATCCATTGGGGCCTTCGGTGGAGCTCCCTGTAGGGCCGCGAAACGCTGCCCTGAGTGGGGGAACCGCATGCGAGAGCATCCACTGGGGCTTTCGGTGGGGCTCCCTGTGGGGCCGCGAAACGCTGCCCTGAGTGGGGGAACCGCATGCGAGAACAGCCACTGTGGCGTTCGGTGGAGCTCCCTATAGGACAACGAAACGCTGCCCTGGGCGGGGGAACCGCATGCGAGAGCCGCCACTGGGGCCTTCGGTGGGGCTCCCTATGTGGCCACGAAACGCTGCCCTGGGTGGGGGATACGCGTGCGAGAGCAGCAACTGGTGCCTTCGGTGGAACTCCCTATGGGACCACAAAGCGTTGCCCTGGGTGGGGGAACCACATGCGAGAGCAACCACTGGGGCCTTCGGTGGAGCTCCCTATCGGGCCACGAAACGCTGCCCTGGGCGGGGGAACCGCATGCGAGAGCAGCCACTGGGGCCTTCGGTGGAGCTCCCGATGGGGCCACGAAGCGCTGCCCTGGGTAGGGGGAACCGCATGCGAACTGCGCCACTGGGGCCTTCGGTGGGGCGCCCCATAAAGCACTGCCCTGGGCGGGGGAACCGCATGCGAGAGCAACCGCTGGGGCCTTCGGTGGGGCTCCCTATGGGGCCACGAAGCGCTGCCCTGGGTGGGGGAACCACTGGGGCCTTCGGTGGGGCTCCCTATGAGGCTACGAAGCGTGTGAGAGGTGTGCCGAGAGCAGAGGCAAGGAGGGGGAGGAGGGAGGAGGGGGAGGAAGAAGCGGGAGGAGGACGGAACGCGGGGCACTGTCTCTTCAAAACGAGGACCCACCACATCAGGACGTTTGGGGAAAATCTCACACACCTCTGTGAAAACATGGGGTTGGGGGGCTCGTGGGCCCCGTCGGAGGAGGAGAGTGGGGAGGAGGAGGAGGAGCAGGAAGTGACTTTTCCATCCCCGCACCGAGGCTGAGGCAACTGACCCCCAATTAGACTTTAACAAGGAGGTGTGCGTGAATTGTTGGGGTCGCGCCGGGTTCCCTGGAGCCCAGCCTCGCGCAAATTTAGCCAAGCCGAGCCCCCTCGCTGGCGCCGCAGCAGGCGCATCAGCCTTGTGCTCGACAGGACGCAATCAGAAGCTGATGTCAGAATGTAGTGTAGCTAGCTTCTGGCCCCAACAAGGGCAATATTCGAAGTCACGCTAGGTGAGAGATCGTTTAGCCTTCGTGAAATGGTTGCCAAGTTGGTGGTGAATGAATGTATGAGCAGGACGTGACGCGGCACAGAATGGATCAGCTGCATGAGAGATGCTACAACTACTGCGACTACTCAAGCTACGACGGATGCTATTACTGGTGCTGCGAGTACTCCTGCTACGACTTCTTCTTCTTCTTCTACGATTACTACTGCGACGACTACTACTACGACTACGACTACGACTACGACTACGACTACTACTACTACTACTACTACTACTACTACTACTACTACTACTAGTACGACTACGACTACGACTACGATTACGACGGCTACTACTACTACGACGACTACTACTACTACTACTACTACTACTACTACTACTACGACTACTACTACTA